CGTGCTGATTAGTTTTGGGTAAAGATCGGCCGGGCCGTTTTCTTGTAATAAAGTTTTAAAAAAAAAATTTCGACGATTTTTATGATTTTTTTTTTTGACGGTAGATACCATAGTTTTCTAGGTCATACTAAAATATTACGGCCCTACGACAACTCGTTTAGCTTTAAAAATTCGTCAAAGTTTGCAAAAATTGGTATCGTTATTTTGACATTTGTCAAAATGAGATCTTTGATCGACGTTTTCTCAAAAACGCCTGAACCGATTTCAGAAATTTAAAAGCCATTTGATTTAAAAAAATTGAACAACCCAGATAAAGAAACAAAATTTAGATCCTTGTGTTGTAACAAACTTTTATCTTTCATCAAAAATAATAATTCAAAATTTAGTTCCCTTCCTTTACATTCAGAAATTGTTAGAGATTTAAAAATTTGCAAAAAGTTTTTGAGGGATAATCCAGATATCTTAGTTACCAACGCACAAACTCATTGGCAATTTAATCACAAAAAAACAAATCTCCAAATCATTAGGTTTTTCTTTAAAAGTTTTTCATCCCAGTTTTCCCAAGTTGTATTGTCTTCCTAAAATTCACAAACCTAATTTACCTCTCAGACCTATAGTTTCCGACTTGAATTCTCCCTTAAGTAAACTCTCCAAACATATCAGCTCCATTCTCTCTAAGGTTACTGTTTTATCTAAATTTAATGTTTCCAATTCTTTTGATTTAGTAAAAAATTTAAAGAATTTTACAATTCGTTCAAATTCTTCCTTTGTTAGTTTTGATGTCATTTCCCTTTTCACGAACATTCCTTGGGATTTGGCTTTGGAAGCTGTTTCTGCCCGCTGGAATGATATCCAACCACACACTTCGATTGACTTGGTTTGGTTTAAGACGATTTTAAATTTCATTTTTGTTAACACGTGCTTTTGTTTTGATGATCAATTTTATTCGCAGATTTTTGGTTTACCCATGGGGTCTAGCATTAGCCCCCCTGTGGCTGATTTAACACTACAAATTTTAGAAAATTTTGTTTTATCTAATCTTTCTGTTCCACCTCACCTTTATTATATATATGTTGATGACGTTCTGTTGTGCCTTGATGATTCTCAGATTGTAGACACATTAGACTCTTTTAATTCTTTTAACAAACATTTGCAGTTTACCTGTGAGATTGAGTCGGATGACTCTATTAGTTTTTTAGACCCAAGAATTACTAAAAATAAAGTTAACAATTCTGTCCTGACTGATTGGTATCAGAAACCAACGTGGTCAGGAAGATATTTAAATTATTTGTCTTTTCATTCGCGTTCCATTAAAATTTCTGTCATTATCTCTCTTATAGACAGGGCTATTTTACTAAGTAACAGTATGTTTTGGGAAAAAAATTTGACTCTTATTCGTTCCGTCCTCAAAGACAATAGTTACCCTTCGCACTTGGTCAACAACATCATTAATAATAGATTAATTTGTTTACAAACGAATTCTAATAATTCATTTTCACCTTCTTGTTCAAATTCAATAGCTTCCTCTTCCGCCCAATACAAAGGAACTATCTGTTTACCTTTTTTAAGCAATTTTTCATATTTTTTAAAAAAGTTATTTTCTTCAGAAGGATTCCGATTAGTTTTTAGTTTTGATAGCACGTTTAATTGCCTTTTTTCGATTCTTAAGTCTGGAACCCCGTCTGATAGGGTCACCGATTCTGTTTACAGGTTGGATTGCAATGATTGCAATATGTGTTATATTGGAGAAAGTTCCCAGTATATTTATAAGAGAGTTAATCAACATATTTATAATTCAAAAAATCCAAACCAATTCAAAACGATGTTTTCAGATCATATGCTCAATCTCAATCACACTTTTAACACTTCACATCCTGTTATTCTTTATATCGAAAAAAATAGTGACCTTAGAAAATTTGCTGAATCCTTTTTTATTTCATTAAATTCCTCCTCTTGTGTTAACAAACGCAATTCATCCCACCTTTTACATGATAGTTACCAGATAGTTATTGATTTTATTAAAAAAACAAAAAAATTAATTTGCTTATTTTTTTATATTAATTTTTTTACAATTTTGTTTTTTTTGTTCTAACTTTTACTTGGTTTGCTTTTTCCTTTTGATCAATCCCAGTTCAACCTCTGTGTTCGATGCGTTTTCGTGCCTCGTAGAATTTGTTCTTGATGCGTCCCCTCCCATTCCTATCAATACGCCTATTGAAATAATTCAGTCCAGTCTACGTGTATATACTTGGCACCGCGATGGCGGAAATTGGCAAAACTGATATGACCTGATTTTTTGACGATTTTTTTGCTGTCGATTGGTGTAAACTAACATTTTTTTGCTCTTTCCGTTCTCGAGATAAATGGGTGGGGCCAAATTCGGTGCTAACTATATATATAGTCAGCACCGACCCCTCTAAAAATGCAAAAAAATTAAAATTTCTTTTTACTATCGTTATCAGTGATTTTTTTGCTGTCGAATGGTACAATTAATTTTTGGAAAAGTTTTACCCATCATAGATTTTCACGCATAGGAAAATTCCCATTTTTGCCAATTTAAAAAAATTGACAAATTTGAAAATGCCCAATTTTTTTGCTTGCTTACTTAAATATAAAACAAAAAAATTTTTTTTTAAAAATTAATTTTTTCACCCCTTTTCAGAGAGGTTGCCAATTTTTGGGGGTGTCCACAGGTTAATTTTTTAAAAGTTTAAAAATTGTTTCGGAATCTGTGATTTTTTTGCTCTGCGATACAAAAAAAGAAAAATTCAAAAAAATAAATTTTAATTTTGATTTTTTTCGTAGTATGGAAGCGGATCGCAATCCGCTTTAAATATGCTTATTTTTTGCTCAATTAAGTATATAACAAAATCATCACCAATACCTTTACAAAAATATGTGCTCGATCGGAATTAATAGTCTCATACCATTTTTATATTAATTTGTTAAAATGTAACAGGAATCGCGGTGCATATATATAGCCGTCTCACTCGCTCAATAGCGTATAGCTTTCTCACTCGCTCATCATCGAGAGACCCAGTGCGTAGCGTAGAGACTCTCTACGCCGTAGAGTCTCTCGGCGGCGGGTGGCCAAAGACGCATTATTTATTTACTGAAATTACTGAAATATTGTTGACTAATTGATTCATTAAGTCTGTTTTGGGAGTAAGTAAATAAATTGAGCATCGTAGTACTTATCATGGACGCAAACTATTCGTTTCTATACTACGAAAAAAATCAAAATTAAAATTTATTTTTTTGAATTTTTCTTTTTTGTATCGCAGAGCAAAAAAATCACAGATTTCGAAACAATTTTTAAACTTTTAAAAAATTGACCTGTGGACACCCCAAAAAATTGGCAACCTCTCTGAAAAGGGGTGAAAAAATTAATTTTTTTAAAAATTTTTTTTTGTTTTATATTTAAGTAAGCGAGCAAAAAAATTGGGCAATTTCAAATTTGTCAATTTTTTTAAATTGGCAAAAATGGGAATTTTCCTATGCGTGAAAATCTATGATGGGTAAAACTTTTCCAAAAATTAATTGTACTATTCGACAGCAAAAAAATCACTGATAACGATAGCAAAAAGAAATTTTAATTTTTTTGCATTTTTAGAGGGGTCGGTGCTGACTATATATATAGTTAGCACCGAATTTGGCCCCACCCATTTATCTCGAGAACGGAAAGAGCAAAAAAATGTTAGTTTACACCAATCGACAGCAAAAAAATCGTCAAAAAATCAGGTCATATCAGTTTTGCCAATTTCCGCCATCGCGGTGTCAAGTATATACACGTGTCCAGTCTAGATGCTCGGTATGGGCGTGCTTCTAGCTTCACAATGATGTATTTCATAACTTTTAGTCAAATTAGTTTTCAAATCTTTTCGTTATTCATAATTTTTTCTAAAAAATGTTTTTTTCTCTAATATGTTATTAAGTTTAATTTTTTAAAATAAATTTTTGTTGAGTGTTTTTGTCCTGTGGTGTGTATATTGTTTCTCTATGCTATGATTAATTTTTGTTGTTGTTTATATTAGTTAATAAAATTTTCAAATTGTTGTAGTTGCTGAATGATGACACGCATCTTGTGTCGAAACGTATAAATAAAAGTTTTTATACTTTATACCTTTTTATTTCGACGAATGGGCTGCTAGTTACTTAGAAATATATATATATATATATATATATATATATATATCATTGTTATCATAGGCTGTTTGATGAAACTAGTTTAGAACAACAAATGGTTATTTACGAAAAACAAGTGTTTGCTTGTGATCTCTGCTGTGAAGGTTTCCTTCATGCTACAAGCCTAGAAAAACATAAAGGTGAATACTTTATATATTGCATGTAATTTACATATACTAATTTATTAAATAACATATTTTTTGTTTTATTTTTTTAGAGTTACATAGTAAAAATGATGCTTATGCGTGCAAGGTTTGTAATTGTTTCTTTTTGAATCAGGAAACACTTTTAGTTCATAAAAATACTCATCATAAAAATATAATGACTCAAGATATTTTATCAGAAATTTCTGATGATGTTAAACCTTTATTAAATGTAATTAAAGAAGAAAAGCATGACAACTCTGTTGATTCATTTTCTCCAGAAAATGGTAAACGAATAAGAGGTCGTCCAAAACAGGTATTTGAAACAACACTTATTTTTCTTTAATGAATTCACAATATTTAGTTCATTGTTTTGTGAACTTAAATATTTCTTGAACACATAGTTTAAATAATATGTAACAATATTATTTCCAGTCACAAGGGCAAAAAGTTGGTCATCAATGCACAATCTGTATGGAATTTTTTGATAAAAAGCTACAATTAAAGAGACATACTATGTCTGCTCATCGAGATAAGCTTGTAACAGTCGAGTAAAACATCTCATCTTATATTTAATTCAATTTATTTATTTATTTAATTATTTAATTATTAATTAATTATTAATATTGTTTACATTGCACCAATGTTCAGAATGTGAGAAAACATTTTCAAAAGTTGAATTACTGAAGAGGCACATGAAACAACATTCAGTTCAAAATTATTCATGTGATGATTGTCCTAAAACATTTAATAAGTAAGTTAATTGTTTATATTTGATATAAATACTGAATGGTTATGTATACATCTTGTGTATTTTTAAAGATTAGAAAAGTTGACTGAGCATAAAAAATGGCATACTGGTGAAAGATCTTACTTATGCAGCAAATGTGGAAAAGGATATTATAAGCAACCACATTTGGATAAACATATGCTTACACATCTAAAGGATCATTTGGAAAAACCAGTAAGGAAAAAATACCATATTTACGATAATTTATAAATACTACAATTACTAAACTTTTAAATACTGGTGTTGTAATTACCATAATTATAAGTGCACATATGCTTTATTCATTCAAATAATATTTATAAAATAAACTAGCTGTTCTCTTTCACGCTTTGCCGTGATTTAGTTTAATTTAAAAAGTTGATCCTTGGACTTCAACGAACATTTTAAAAAAAGAATCGGCCAAATTGGTTCAGGCGTTGTTGAGCATAAGCTTACCAACACATTTTGTGATTCATTTTTATATATAAGGGTGTTCATTATTTAAGTTTAATATGAAATATATGTACGTGTATCAGTGTACATTTTGTGGTAAAAAGCTAAATCATTCAAATCACTTGCAAGTACATATGAGAACACATCGAGATCGATATGGACAGCCTTTATTGCCACAGCCACCAATCCTAATAAAAAGGTAAAATTTTATCACATATTTTCATAATAAGTAATATTCATGTTACTTATCATTTTTCATATTTTTATTCCATATTATATTAATTATTTTTCATTACACATTAATTTAGATCATTTATCAGAATACATTATACATTATTTATTAATAATGTATATATTTATCAATGAATTGTTTTTTAGATTCATAGATAATAATTTATATATAAACTTTATTTAATATCTAAAGCATTTTGGTCTCATTAATATAATTAATTTGTTCTTAGGTAATATTATGTAGTGTTTGTGGTAAAAGTTGCAGTTCAAGAAGTAATTTAGCCGTCCATATGCGGAGACATACTGGTCAAATGACAAATTTTTGCAAAATCTGTGGTAAAGGTTATCCAAGAACTACAGATTTTACATTGCATATGAGGTATAGAAATAATTATGCAAATATATACTTTTTTATAAAGTTTATATGAAACAAAAATGTGGTACTCTAAATACTATCTTGTTCTGGCTTATATTTACAATATTTGGTCATTAAGTTTCTATTACCAGCAGATTACTACTTTTATTTGTTTGATTATTTAAATACATAAAAACTAATATGCTTGATTAGTAGATTTTATGAATTCTTTAAAATGCTATGGATTTCACTTTACTACATTTTATCTATAACAATAAGTTGAGAATGTGTAATTATAAATTTAAGTATTTAATTCATTTTTAAATAGTTCTTTATCCTGTTATAGAAAGCCATTTATAGTCATTAATTTTTTTCCAGAAAACATACAGGAGAAAAGCCATTTGTGTGCAGTGTTTGTAACAGAGGATTTGCACGATCTGATAAGTTAGCTATACATATGAGGACACATACAGGTGAAAAGCCCTACGCTTGTATGGTTTGTGGTAGAGCATTTGCCCAAAGTAATGATTTAGCATCTCATAAACGGAGAAATATGTGTGGACAGAGTCCTGCTGCCAACCAAAATGTGATCATTCAAAGTTCTGCTAACACACCTGGACAAACTGGTTCACAGACAAGTCAGGCCAGAGCTGCTGATTTGGTTTCTGAAGTTGTTCAAGGGTATTTGAAGTATGAATTTCTTTATTATATAATTTTATAAACAATTTTATAAATGATCAATAATTTATTCATATTCATAAGATATGTCATGTATATAATCAATACTATCTACTGGATTCAGCTGTATAATATAACATGAAATAATATGTATTTGAATAGATTAAAAAAAACTTCTTTTATATACTACTATATAATAATTTAATTGATATGAAAATAAATATATATATTTTTTTTATTAATTTTTAGGGTTCCAGAGCTGGCACTTCATCCCCGAACAATTGAATAGCACAAGGAAATGTACATAGTCGAATTGAATATACAGATTATACTACTGCAACATTACTACAAAATTTTTCCAATGGCCATTTTATGCGATAAATATAATTTATTGCAGTTACCACAAAAGTAGATGATAAATCAACTAAATAGAGTAGTGTTAAAATGATACTAGTAAAGTAGTTAAACATTATTAAATATTAAATATTAAAGTGTTAAAGTAATAAGTAATAAAGTATTTGTATATTAAAAGAAGTTAGTCTTTTTGTAACAAAAGAGTATTTTATTTCTTTCAGGTGTGTTGTAGTTTTAAGGTAGTATGTGGCAGTTGGGGGTGTCCATGTAAATTCTACCAAGGGAACAGTCACAATTATTAATTAAAATGTGACTGTTCTCCTAATACAATATTTTTTGTACTAAATCCATTTTATTCTACCAGGGAAACAGTCACAATTTTTTATTAAAATGTGACTGTTTCCCTAATACATCAAAACTTTTTTGCTGATATGTAAAATAATGGATATAATCGACAACGGCTTCCCAGTAACTGTTGCGATACATGATGATGATATAATATATATTTATATTGTCTGAAAATTAATTGTTTTACCTGAAAATAAATAGTGTTTATATTTTATTAAAATTTTATATAGAAAAAAATGTACTGTGATATATTAAATATATATTTATTACATTATATAATTACATTACATTTTATGTTATATTTTAAATTAATTATAATATGTATATACTTATATTATTACTATAGCTTAGATTATATAAATAATTTTTTATATTTTTGTTTATAACTTTTATTAAAAATAAATATCATCAAACTTATACTTATAATTTTTAACTAATTTATTATAAATAAAATAATTTATTCATAGAAGCTTATTACATATAAATATTTTCGTTCAAGACAAAATACAACTGAAACAATGCTGAAAAATAAAAAAAAACAAACAAGGGGAATGGAAATTTAAACAAATAATAGGCATTATATTTATACTATTCATTCACTAAAAAATAGTTCAACACTTATCAAATTAGTTTATATCAAGAATTTATTCTATTTAATAAATAATACACTTATCATTAATAATATAAATTATTTCATTTAAAAACATTTTATTTATATTACTATTTTTTATTTATAATTTATTATTCATTATCATAAATAAAAAAACTACAAGTATTAATTAACCAAAATATTTACAGTACTAAAAATTTTTTCACATTATAATCATTCATTTTTATAACATAAAGAAAATTTACATATTCATTATATTTATTTTACTGATAATGAAAATTATTACGAAGCTAAAAAAGAATATGCCATGGTTCTGTTGTGCCAATCAGCGTAAAAACGCGTATATTTATTAAATATTACCACTGAGGAAGTTTAGAAGTATAAAAGGAAACACCAACAACTATATAACATGAACTTGAATTTTATTTAATAATATCAGTTACTTTGTAAACGTAGATTATATGAGATTTATTTTGAGATGTTATCTTCAAGACGCCGGCAGTGCAAAGAGAGCTAGATCCCTCTCGTCCTCGATCGCTTCGAAGGGCATCGAGAGTCCTCGGAAGTCTTCGGGTTTTTGTGTGTTGCCTGCGGTCTAGCGTCCTAGGCACAGAGTTGCGAATATATTTTCAAAAATTGGCGCGACAGTTCAAACGAAACCGACGAATTATGATGACTGGCCAAGAGAGCATAAGTATGACAATGTAGACTTCACATTCGACAAAAATGAAGAAATTCATATGATTAGGGAAAAACACAATAAATCGAAATTTTCTGAAGGCGATGGGTGTCCACCAGACCCTTCTTATGATTTTCTCAAAGATGCTGATCGAGACTACAACCATATTGAACAGGTAATTAGTTTTATTCTTTATTTAATGTAATTTAGTATTTGACCATGATGTCTCAAATTCAATATCATTGTATATAGTTGATATCATTGTCTAACTATTTTTGTTCCTGGTAATTAAATTAGTACTAAGTATATATTTGTCATTTACTAGATTCACAATAAAACAAATGCAAGTAAAACTAGCTGTAAGTGGAATTCTGTCTTGAGGCAATTATGGCATCGTGCCTTAAGGCAAATTGCTGGAACTTCCCGTACCGTAACGAAATGTTCGAGGAATACTGAATGTTTTCAATAGATTATTATAAATATTGTAACATTGTCTAATATTTATAAGAATTATATAAACTGAATTGCAGAGTTGAAATTAATTGTAAAGTATATTAGAACTATAGTCAGAATTAAAATAAAATCTGAAATATTTTCGATATACAAAAAACTAAAAAAAACTAAAAAAAAAAAAAAAAAACGGGAATTTTTTTTCCAAAATCAATTATTTTGTTAAGACAAGCAGAAAGTTCTTTGAATCATTTAAATCGGACGCTTAGTTCTCTCAAAAACTGCCATTTTTAACATATTTAGCTCCGTATCTTCGAAATGGCTGGGCCTGCCTTTGCCAAAAACTAATAAACACTTTTCCCAATCATTACTAATTGCATATTTTTTACATCATTCAAATCGGATACTCCGTTCTCTCAAAAATTCGATTTTTATTTTCTGCACTCTTTGCTCCGTATCTCCGATACGGCTGGACCTGCCTTTGCCAAAAACTAATCAGCTCTTTTCCCTATCAATAGGAATCGAATGTTTTTTGAACCATTCAAATCGGTTGATCCGTGCGCCCGAAAACGTGACTGGAAATTAGTATCCATACATACATACACACACACACACACACACACACACATCCATTTTTTCTGAGGTATGCCAAAACGTTCAGAAACCTTCAAAACGTCGAGAAATGTAAAAATTTTCAATTCCGATTTTCGGCCCATTACAATAACTTACCCTACGGGAGGTTAATAAATTGCAGGATAATTGAAATTTATCGAAAATAAAAATTACAAAATTTCAATTGATAACAATTAAAGGCCATGAAAATTGTAAGATTTTAATCAATTTATCTTTATGCAAACCAATGTAAGAGATAGTGATAACTTCAAAATCGTATATGATATTAAGTTATGAATTTGAAAGTTAATAGACATTCTAGTAATCAATCAAATATATGATGAAAATGATGATTATTTTTATGACTATTTTATGTATCAATTAAATTTGTAATGTAATTGATGTGCACATTAGCTATTTTATTTTCTGGGAAAATAATTGACGAATAAATTGTCAAATATATGATTTAATTTTTATTATTAGCTCATTTCAATTGTTTCTTAATTTTTCATTAAGTGCCAAAGACTTGTGTGAAATTACCACATTTCTATTTACCATATTGTTGCTAGTAAAACTAGCAATTTAGGTTGGAATACAAAAATTGATTTGATAAAATTTTCACAAAATAAAATTACCTGCACGTTTTCTAATAGCTATATCTAATCTTTTTCTAATAGTAAATCGACTATCAAATAATTGAAAATAGTAGCAATTTTATAAACTATTTACATAAAAACTGCAAATTTTATTTCCAAAATTTATCAATCAAATCACACCACTCCTAATAATATTTAAGCATGATTAGATGCTTTGTAAAATTGTTCAATAATAAATTAATTTTTAAAACAATACTAAAATTTCAACTACTTTTATATAAAAATTGAATAGAATAAATTTTAAGGTAAAATTAAATTTCGTTCGTCATGAAGCATTATCGTCAAAACATTACATTCATATAATTAATTTAATAATTACTACAAATGTACACAAATAATTTACGTGCATTTAATGAAGATTGATTGCATAGAATTTAATATAAATATATAAAACCGGTTCTTTTGTTTGAGTTGCTTTATAAATTTGAACAGATTAGTATCTACAGATATGGAATTATGTAACATTTTAAATATTCTGCATTTAAAGTGAAGTTTTGTAAAACAAATTATTGCAAATGCATAGGTCTTGAACAGGCAAAAGTAGAAAAATATCGCATTAAAATAATAAAATAGCAATTGAGTTAATTTTAAAAAGCTGAAATATACGCAGATATTTTCTACACAACATGACCAACTTAATTTTTGTAAAAAAATTATTTAGTCAAGCTATTGACTTGGTAATTGGCAATTAATATTGGATTTGATTATATATTTAATTGCAACTGGTTATATAAATACTATTAGGTATACTTGAATCCACAATGCAAAAAAGCGTAATCCTTTCGATTAATTTATTGATATTCAAATATATTTGCATGAAAATACATATTTGTAATTTTGAAAAAATTACAAACTAATCACGTACATATAATCTGTAGATCAAATATGAAAATGAAAATATTTGTTGAAGTTTTGATTAATCAATTATATTACATAACTGTTTAAAGATTAAAAATCTAATATTCGATTATTTGAATTCAATACAATCCAATACAAATTTATGCAATCTTATCTTATCGATTGCGCAATTACTTGTATAAATTTGATACTTTACTAAACAAAAAAATTCAAGTATCTACTGTAATTTAAAATTAAAAATTACAAGTTCCTAATTCTAGTTTCATAATTTTACTAGCAATAACACGCAAAATGAAAATGTCGCAATTTATTGAAGTCTTAGTGAACAAAATGGTTTATAAATCTGACAAAAAAAAAATAATGAGCCGTTAGCACAGTTTCAAGAATACCAAGCTGTGGTATTAGTTTTGATTGATCGATTAATAAAAAAAATCAATTTTTTGCTACAAAAAAATCAACATTCGAATAAATTATGACGAGATTTCAACGCTATCGACTGTTCTTAATACAGTTTCATTTATTGTTATATAATTGAATGTGAGAATCTTATTTGAATAGGAGGTAACAAAACATCTGGCTATAATGTTATCGTGCGAGGGCACGTAGTTCAATTGCAAAAATTTCATCATCATTTTGATTTTCTACGTAGTTAAAAGGAATCATTCTAATGCACCCAAAAGTAATACATTATAATATAAAACACTGAATTAATTTAACAAAAC